CACACACACACACACACACACACACACACACACACCTCCAACAAGCCCTGCAAATGTCTGTCACCCACTGAGCTGTCTGTGAGGATTACAGCCTCAACAGTGTAAAGAGGTCTGGAAGATTGCATCAAACGGATGTAAAAGGGAAACATTAGTTCACACAAAAAGTCAATTAGTTTCACATATGAAAGCTGGAATCTACATTATATGTCTGACTTATATAATTGGTGTGTGTGACCAAAACTTTAAAAAAGTGTTTAAAAAAGTGAAAACACAATAAAAAGCACTTCACATTCCTTATGCTGGAGAAACTAAGACGCATTTAGCGTTAAGAACACGTGGCCATTTATCACAATATGTTTCGAAATTAAGCTTATTTAAGCGCTAAATTCAGTTTATATCCTGAATACTGCGTGGTAGTAAAACATAAGGCCAAAAGTACTATAAAGCTCACGTTTTTCCAACATTTTCAGCTGAAATGTTTACAGCTAGCACGTCGCGTAGAGCTAATATTACATTACGGCGGTCTATTACAGAGCCAGCTAATACTCCAGTGGTCGCCTTTATATTGGTACCAGCCTCTTGTGTTTTAGTATCACGTCGCTAGTTTGCGTTTATAATCGGACAAACCAGAGACAGAAGTCCACAATTTGATTCCTGAACGTGCTGCCCGAGGTGTTGTGTCGGAAAACGTGCACCGTCCAATGCCATCAAGAATCACCCCCCGTGTACAAGCACATCATGACGAAATAACTATAGGGTATTAAATCATTTAAAAGTACCGATAATCACAAATCAGACTGTGATGTTTAACTTTTAATTTAACGCAGGACAAAACGGCACTCGTGGAAGCTTCCCACGACGGGGGTGCGTTTCGCGGCGGGGGGGAGCTTTTTTCGGCACAACACCGGTTAGCTGGTGCGAGCACGTTTACGAAAACAAATGCAGGGAGGTTTTAGGCTTCTACMCTCCAGCCAGTCTGAGTGAGTGAAGCTGCGTTTTCGGGTTAAGTTTCTTTCAATCAAATGTGCSTCCTCGGTTGGGCTTTAGCTTCGCAAGGCTAGTCCGCGAGCTAGCAGCTCGCCGTTGTTTGGCAGAGAAGACCACCGGGGGTGAAGTGAGGCTTTTAGCCGGGGCTAGCTGCTCACCAAACACTGCAGCAGCACACAAGTCGGCTCAGCCAAGTAACGATAAGTGGGGCCAAGAAAAGCGGGGAAAACCATCCGCACTCAAACACAATAATACAGAAAAATCGTATTTCAGTCACCAAACTCGTGGATGAAACACTTTACAACACACAGGCTTATTATTACATACAGTAAATAAAAAAAACACAGTTCCTTGTGAATAACTTCTATTCCCTTCAGCTCCCACCGCCAACCCCGAATTCAGAGTCAGACTCACCCTGTCACAACAGGCGCCATCTTCCACAAACTCTCACCAAAACTCCAGTACTCGCGATATCCTTTCCTCTCCGACAACAGCCTAACAATCCGCCGAGACAACAGAAGCGAACTGGAGGTGTAGGGACCAGGGAGGCAGAGAGAAAAAAACCGAGGGGAGGCGGAAAACAGCAACACTGAGCGAGAGAGGTAGAGCGGGAGAGAGAGAGAGAAAGGGGGCAGACGCCACAACAACAGGCGTGGGAAACTTCCAAGATCTCGCGAGAACTGGAAAACTCTCACAATAGGCGAGCGCTGGCGGAGCGTGAGTTGTCGCGAGACGTGCGCGATGTACAGAGATTGTTTATCTTGTGGCGTTGAAATGCTATTCCCACGTGTTTACCGGATAATAAATTACAGCACCAATCGGTTGAGTGGAAAAAGAAAACATTTATGACGAGGAATCCTCGGGTTTCCCAGGCTCACACACGTGTTGTTATCTTTTCATGATGGTTTTCTGCCTTAACAGCTGCATACTGTTAAAGCCACATATTTACATATTTACATTTGTGGGGCCTCTAAGATGTAAGTTAAGTTGAAATTTTTTTTTAGATTTTTTTTAAATTCACAGTTGCAAAACAAATATATCAAAATGAACATACTTAGTTTATACAGCATGTATCGGTCAAACTTAGTCTTGTTTGTATTAATTTTTTTATGATTGCTCTACTTTTTTGTTTTAGCAGGGTTTGAATTTCGTTTTGTTGCAAATGACTCTCAGCTAAATACACGTCAAATTTTAGTTTAGTTCTTTTCAAATCGAGTGAGTTGCAGCCATGTATTTAACTCCGTTCACTTGAATGTGGTGGACATGTTTAATCGGATTGGTTCAAAAAGTTTATCAGTTGTAGATGTACATCCAGTGATTTGTTCATTAAATATTTTGCTAACAGGCAGGATTGAGCAGTTGGGGACAAAACAGACGTAAAAAAAAGTATGGCCATTGGTGGTGGTGTTTTTCACAATAAAAGTTTTACTTTAAAAATTATTTTCTAAAATGTAATTTAGACCAGTGGTTCCCAAACTTTTTATCTTCTGACCCACAAAATATTCATGGCAAAAACTTGTGACCCCAAATATTACTGGTCTGAGTACATGAACTTCATTAATAACCCTAAAAACACAGGCTTTTTGACAATCTAAACAGCTTGTACACAAATATAAATACTTATAAATATCTTGTGTTTTTGTAATAGCTATAGGGAATATATTACATCAGCAATTATTTTATTACCCTTTAAATTGATTTCTGGAGATTATCCAAGGTGCTTCATGACCCATAATTGGGTCCCAAGCCCAACTTTGGGAACCAAAGTGCAGTGGTTCCCAAACTTTTCAGCTTTTGACCCACAAAATAACAGTAGCAGAGACCTGTGCCCCCAWCTATTTTTGTTTGATAAACATTTGTATCAGGTCAACAAAACATGGGCATAGTAACAATGTTTTTATACTACATTTATCTATTTTAAATATACTAACCTCACTCCTTTGTAACAACTAAGGTAAAAATGTAATTAACTCAGAAAATCTTTTCAGGACCCCACCTTGATGTTTCGGGACCCCACTTTGGGTCCCGACCCCAACTTTGGGAAACACTGATTTAGACACTGCTGTGCACTTTGTCTCCACATTTAATGATCTTTGATGTTCTGTTGAAACTAATACACTAAAATCTAAACTAGCGTAAGAGTTGACATGCTGACTTAGAATAAGAGTAAAAATTAATGGAAGGGAATTTACATTCTGAATTCCCATTTCCCTTGGGTAACGTTGCGCTCCCGGTTTAGAATGTGGAAACAATGGTGCGAACACATGCAAGGGGGCCATACAGGGCAGATTAGTGCCTTGCCATCACATTGGGGAGTCCCATGACCACCCTCCATACCAAACCTCAGTTAAAAGTACAAGGGAGCCTATTATTTAGAACGATCACGCTTGGAAATGTGGCATAGTCGTTATTATCTTTACTGTGTCTGTGTGTCTGCCTCGGTTTCTCCCCCGGCCAGAGCACATTCCTGGAGTTTGTGTGTTATGTCATCCTCACAACAAACAGGTCAAGCCATTCTTGTTTAGCCAGTAAGGGGCCGCAAAGCCATAAACCTTCATGTAGGTCCACAGCCTTCATTTAAATGTGTTTGGCATCTTTGTTCACCTAACAAGTGACTTCTGGTGGGAGTTTCTCCCTGACTTCAAAGACCTCCGAGACCACACCGATGGGCAAGCCAGAGCTTTCCTTTGTTAAGATGTTGACTGTGTGATCTGCCCGTGGCTCTCGGCTGACATGAAAAAGGGCCACTTGAAAAGCAAACACAAATGAATCAGCTGAACTCAAGCTTAGTTGGTTTTAATCAAATAATCTGGCCTGAGATTTAAAAAAAAAAAACTTAATTTTCTTCAGAAGTGAAAGTTAACTCTTTCAGGAAGTTAAATGTGCGATGAGGCAAAGAGCCAAACTGTATTTTTCTTTCCATTTTCAGTTTTTGTGCTGTAACACACAAACAAAATGTGGCCTAAGGGCCCCAAATGACYCTTGGACCGTCTCCATATGGCCCTGGACATTGTTTAATAAAATAATAATAACTTGAAACCAGAAATTTTGATAACTTTTAAATCAAAGCTGATAAAATCTATTCCACCTTATCACCTGTTTCGGACATAAAACTTGACCTGTGTTTTAGACTCAAATAGGCCTTAATATTTTTTTTGGGCCACATTAGTCGTTTGTGTTGACATATGGAGAACAAGGATGAAATAGAGTAACTGGCTTTAAAAATGCTATCAGGACACTTACCCAGACCAAACTGGATTTTGAATTAATAATGTGATTTTTGATTTTTCTTCACTTTTTTGCCAAAATCATCAATATTAAAACAATAAAAGGCTTGAACTACTTCAGTTGGTGTGCAATGAATCTAAAATATATGAAAGTTTAATGGTTATCAGTACGTTACAGAAAATAATGAACTTTATCTCAATATGCTAATTTTTTGAGAAGGACCTGTACTTTATGATATGATACAATACAATACATGATATGGACACAATACGATATATGACTATATAGGATATTATACMATACGATACAATATATGATATAGACACGATAGGATATATGATACGATACTGTATAGGATTGTATACAACACAATATGATACAATATATCGTTTTCTATTCTTGTACAATTCTTTAAATTATATTTTTATTAGTAGTAGTTGTATCATGGCTAGTCAGAGTTAATTTTTGTTTTGTGTGTACTATCTATAGTCTGTAAAATAACTAGTGTGTGAAACTCTGTACTGATGCTGCTGTGACACCTGAATTTCCCCTCGGCGGGACACTATATATGATACGATACAACAATGATACAAAATGTCTTATAGACACCTTTGTCTATAAGACATTCAGTGTCAGAGCACAACCATATACTGTAGTTTCTGTATATAACAGAAAAATGCAGACTCCTCTAGTGTACACAATATCAATTTGCCCTTTCTCATTTTTTCAGAAGCACAATTTATTTTTACAGAGTTCGTCTGTCCTGCCAAAGGAACAGAAAAAAACAACAACAAAAAAAGGGACAGAAAGGAGCGTGTCTGGAAAGTGGCCCACATTATAAAGCTGCAGAGACGAGGACCTCATCCTGCCCTCAACCATTTTTCCTTTCTCGTCTTTTTTATAGTTAGCCGAGAACCTCTAGGTACAGTTTGAGGTTGAACGGGGAAGCATAAAGTTCCGTAAATGTTCTACAGCTGAACACATCTTTTTAAAGTCGGGGGTGCACAGCCACACAAGTGCCATGTTTCTTAGAGAAACCGAGAGCACAATAGAAAAGCAGAAGAAGCTGGTTCACTTTTCCTTTTTGAGCTGAATTAGTCATTTAACAACAAGATGTGAACTTTTATTCATTTGTGGTTCCTGGAAAAAGTAACTTTCTTAAAAGGTCAATCATGAGTCTGATTCAAGACTGCTTTTATGCTTCGTAGTATTTACTTCTGTTTTAACAAATGTAATGTCACAATCTAACGCCCTGCCTCGTTCTCTCATTAGAAGTAAAACCCCATTTTTTTGTTTTAATTCGAGGCTGAGCCAACGCAAGCAATCATCGCTAAGCCATAAGCCCCAGGTCTATAAATCCACTCACTTGACTGTTTAAGCTCATGGCTCTGAGTAAAAGGAAAGATTGAGACAAAAAGGAAGAAAAATCCCTGTCCTCATGTGGAAACACCATTCATCGTTCCATCTGGGCTGCCTTTGTGTAAATGTGATTAAAAAGGTTTTGTCGCTCCGATCAGATGAACATCCGGTTCATCACCCAAGCCGAAGCCCTTCTTAGAAAGTGGTGATGAAACGAGCGAAGCGACTCATTGGTAAAGTTGATGAGTTTGGGAAAAGAAATCAAAGTTAGCATGCCACTTAAGGAAGTGCAGGTTGGGTTTCGTGATTAGTAGCTCCCTTGACTCAGAGTCATTTGATCCATTCAGAGGAGATGGTGAAACTTCCTGAAATGAGCACGACACGCCGGTCCAAGCAAGGGGCCGTGACGGGCAGTTGGGTTTTTTCAGAGACACGACTGGGTCAAGTGTGAGACGGGTGAGAGGACAGACAACGCTGATGAATGTGGACACAAAGGCTGGGCCGAGCCCCAGACTGAAACAGGAAGTCACAACTTGGCACGCATTTCGTTAAAATTCACCCTTTCAAGTCTAACAGCAACTAGGGTCGTGTTGTCCTCCGTGGACACTGCAAGGATAACATAAAGTCAAAATAATAGATTGGGTGATTGTGTTGTGTCAAGCCTGTCCATCCGCCCAGCATCTGTCTTGCTTTCCAGACACAAGGGAAAACCAAAGGGCTGGACCAAGAGCAGACAGCCTGACAAATGAAGAGTCTGAGAGGGACACGCCTTTTACTTTTCAAAAGCTTTTTCTCACATGACTGTCATTACAATTAGGTACACAAACACATCACAGAGCCCTGGCTGCTTCCTAAAAATGACAGGGTGAGGAGTTTGCAGAATGTCAGGGGAGAGCCAAAGCAGTCTTGTTTTTTTTTTTTTTTTTTTTTTTTTTTTTGCATGCAGGCTCTTTTGAAAGAGAGGCAAATGGGAGTCATGAGGAAAGAGACGTTTCCCCTTTCCTGGACTTTAACGGTTCAGGGTGAGTTCAAGCTGCCAAAYGCATGTGGGGTGAGAACTGTATGTGCACG